AAAAAAATGGGAAAGTTAGTAATTTTTAATAATGTTTATTTTATTTAGTACTTGAATTTAAAAATTGGAACATTAATATATATAATAAAAAGTAAAAGCACTAATGTTTTTTTTTCTAATAGGGTTGCCATCAAAAGACTTAGCTTCTACATGTGCAATAATGTATTACTTTTCTGGGTAGGCTTGCCACCTATTAAAATGCTAAAAGATTTTCGACGTTCGTTGGATTACAAAAGGAGATACCAAATGAAAGGGCCCGGCCTTCGCATGTACAAAAGCTATCATTTTTTAAATAGGGTTGCCACCTATTTAAAAATTACTATCTTCTATACATAGTATTAGCTTTATCTTGGCCACGCTAATCTCAAAAACTATTGAACGGATTTATAAGAGATGTTTTAATTATAATCTGTATCGATAGGATTATTATCGTTAGTACCTTAAATTCCTATAGGGTTATTAAATCCGCATTGTTCGTTGGATTACGAAAAATGAGGTGTCAAATAAAAGGACTCGGCTCGGACTGTTCAATAATGTATTACTTTTTGAGTGAGGTTGCCACTTTTCAAAAATCATAAATCTCAGTTTGTTTGTAAAAACTTAGGTACCAATTGAAAGGGTATGGTCTCTGCATGTGCAATAAGTTTTTTATTTTTTGTTATAGTGGGGTTGCCAGCTAATTAAAAATTATGTATGCATAATACGCGAGGGCATTTTTTGTTAATGCCATTAGATTTGCACAGTTCAATCGATTTAAAAAAATTAGGTGTCAAAGGAAAGTGCTTGACTTTCCGATTTGCAGTAAGGTTTTATTTTTCGAAGAGGCTAGCAGTCTATGCGAAAAATAAAACAAATGTGGGCTGTTCGTTAGATTACAAGAAATGAGGGGTCAAGTGAAAGGGCTTGGCATCCAACCTGTTTAGTTGTCAATCGCATCTTATTTAATATCTATAGATTGAGCGCGTGGCGAAGCCTCGCGCATACGAGACCGGCTAGTATGTATATATATTAGCCTTTCTTAGTTTAAAAATTCATCTCTTACATAAATGAAAAAAATTAGATCAAATTAAGCATATGGGGCGGCGTTCCATACCAAAATGGACGGGGTTCATGTGTGTATATGTGATTTTTTTTTCCAAATTTTTTCCGCGCGCCGTTTTCGAGATATTTGGAAAACTATTAAATCGATTTGTTTTTGTGCTCTAAAGATTTCAAAAATGTATTAATCAAGCTCAAATTTTATATTTATTTATTATTTCTGTTTGTCCATCAACCCTAAAAATTTGAAACAAATCAAACACATGAAGTGTGAACCCCGTCCATTTTGATATGGAACGCCCCATATATAGTGTCTTTGAACGCAAGAGTCAGTGGTTGAATAGCTAAGCCATGCATTGACGAGCAGAGGCATCATACACAGAAGTCAAATTGGTGATTTAGGTGATGTTCTTTCAGTACAGTTCAGTGGTTATTTCCACATACTTAGCATTTAAATCTTTCAGTTTAAGTTCCATAAAGTATTCGGTTTTTGAGGCAGCCTACAATAATAGTCGGCGATGACGGCAGGAATATTCACATGAAAAAAACTTTCGAAACTCACACTGGTCTCGATACTTTTGTTACTTATTCATAGACACATTTCGTAAAACAATTGGCGTTACCATAAATCTTCATTTAAGCAGGCCAACAAGAAGAAGCAGAACACCAACATATATTACCGAAGGATTTTGCTGCGCTGAATCCGAATTTGACCGTTATACCGAATCAAATGTTTCAGATATCCTAACCTAAAAGTTCAAAACACACTATTTTTCGTTATATTTGAAGTTATGTAGCATCGCAGAAAACTACACCTTTTCCAAGAGTACTTCAGAAAGCATCAAATGTACTTCAGAATAGTCAATTGTACTTCAGAAACAGTAAAATGTACTTCAGAATAGCCAATTTTACTTCAGAAACCGTAAAATGTACTTCAGAATAGTCAATTGTACTTCATAAACCGTAAAATGTACTTCAGAAACCGTAAAATGTACTTCAGAAGACGAAAATTCGTACGCATTGTAATTATTTAAATAGTATATATTATAGTGATTTTAAATATATTTACTCTTTAATATATTTTCAAATTAGAAGTACATTAACAGTTGTTGTTGGCGATTGTGGCAGAGCCATTCAACATTCTACCACTTTTCACCCAGATGCACTATCTTTATTCGATATGCCAGCTGGCACATAATTTAAAACTGCATTAATAAATTAATTGTTTCATTCTTAAATATATGGACATTGCGAAAAAACTAATGTACTTTTAATTTGAAAATATATTAAAAAGTAAATATATTTAAAATCACTATAATATATACTATTTAAATAATTACAATGCGTACGAATTTTCGTCTTCTGAAGTACATTTTACGGTTTCTGAAGTACTCTTGGAAAAGGTTTAGTCAAAGGCGCATATTCATAGTCATATTTAGTACTCAACTAAGTCGAAACTATTCTAAGTCACAACTAAAGCTATTCATAGTCGCCTTAGTTTCGACTTTTCTGGCTAAGTACCAACTAAAATTTAGTTTCGGCTGCAGCTGCAACTAAGTCGTAACTAAGAAGAAGTATTTTGTCAAATTAAGGGAAAACAGACGAAATATGTAAAAATTAAGTTGGTAGAGGGTGATTTTGATAATATTGAATAATCTCCCATTAAAATTTACAAAGATCGATCCATTTTAATCGGAAGATGAAATTAAATGCGTATTACAATTCGAATAAAGCTACTTCACAATTTTATAATTGGAATAATTTAGATAAATTCTCAAATAATAAGTCAGTTTGACGCTAGTTCTTTTAAAGTAAATTTGTGCATAACATTTATATATCTACTATTTGTATGTTTCACAGCATGCTTTTGATAAACATCCACTTCACATCACTGCGGTTGTTCTGGCTATTTCACACAATTAACAAGAAAATGATACCTTATTCTTTTGCATAATCATGCAATGAAAATAAAAATTACATAAACGGATGATCAAACTTGGCATTATTTAATAAAAATGTAATTTTTCCAAAACATCGTAAAGAAAAATCGATACATTTTCACACTCGTTTTGCTATATCGTAAACTAAGTCGAAACTACTTAGTAGAAGTCTGAAATGCGACTATGAATAGAGGTAAATTTTAAGTTGGTACTTAAATTTAAGTTCCAACTTTGTTAGTTTCGACTTAGTTGCTGGACTATGAATACGCGCCAAAGTATCTTAAAAAACAAATCTTCCTCTTTCGAATGCCGTTGAGTTTGTCAAACTATCTTTGTTTCGCCGAGATATTGCGTTTTGAATATTTGTGAATTAGTGTGCATATGTATACATATTCGAAAATCCATTAACCATTTGTACCACATATTTTTGAAAGACTGCGATATCTCGGCGAAAAAAAAGATATTCAGCCTTATCATGAATTTCATTTTCCCCGAACCGGTTCACTTTTCACTTTTGGTTTCCATGTATTTACTATGGGTGGATGACAAATTTTCGGGTGAATTTTTTTTTTGGGCGAAACTCAGCATAAGGCAGATTATATCATACTCAACGGCATTCGAAAGGGGAAGATTTGTATTTTAACATACTTTGACTAGTTTTCTGTAAAAAAAAAATATTTTCGATGATACATACATACGACGAAAGGCAGTGTTTAGAATAGCTCAAAAACCTGACGTGATATAACAATTTTACGGCCAGTTTCGTATTCACCGCACCAAAAGCGGGAATATTTAACTCTCTTCTTGAAAATAAGCTTTTTCAACCTTCTTTTTCTTTTATTTTGTTCCAGGTACACAGGTGACACAGGCAACTGCGTTTGAAACCAACAAGCTAAGGAATAAATGACTAAAGCGTTTTGAATCGGAACCGAATTGCTGAATACTTTATAGCTCGCCCTAAGGAAAACCCCAACAGGAGCAAATATGTTTGTCCTTCCTTCATATCACAATTACATATGTACTTACATTATCCAAGTGGCGAATTTCAAAAATAAAACCTTAAACCATTAAACTGTAAAAGAACACCGCAAACACGGGAGGTCGCAAAACTTCTTTTAAACTGCTAAAATTTGTTGTAATTATTTTTCCCGATTTGAGTTTTATAATTTTCAAATAAAATACTGTTTTATAATAATAATAATTTAACATTTTACTTCGGTGCTAACCGAATACTTTTGAGCTAAAGGCTCGCGCAGGTGGACAGAATATTTTAAGGGAAAAAATCCTTCGCCTCCATTTAATGCTAAATTTTAGTCGCCTGGTAGAAATGATAAATTTTAGCACCAAACTGAATTTTCCTATCGCCGGACCTAAAAATGTTTCTACAGCAAATCTTTATATCAATATTTTGGGCTGAAAGAAAGACTTGA